TGTTTCTATCCAACTGTTCGTTAAGTCTAGTACTCTTCACCACCTTCTTTCTGATCTATTCCACTGTTCTATCACTATATCCCTTCTATTATTCACTCATATTTGTTTTAGAGGATTAGGAAGACTAAGTACTGTTGCATTGAATCGTGCAAATTGATGTTGGACATAATGCGCACCTGCACGGAACATCAACAGTGTTCAATGGCATCACCTGTGGGAATCATCTTCCTACGAATTGTATGTATCACTGGTTCACTTCATTAAAATCATTAGAGTTAACAGTAAGCACCGTTCCTCTCCTATAGCTGCTCGTTGAACCCTTACGGAAGAGAGAGAAGAAGATGCATTCACTTCCGTACTTGATGTTAGCCTTTTCTGACGAGAAGATGGTCTGGCGGCTCGTCCTCGTCCTCTCCTTCCTTTCATCTATGTGAGTTCGTGAGTGACCGTTCATGTCCCACTGTCACTGCTTGATCGATGATGGATGGACGGTATGCATTGTGAAAAAGATGCTGTTGCTTATTGGAAGTGACATGCATATCTAACCTGTCCCTCTTTTGTTCTATCTTTATCTGTTCAGATGGGAAATGATAGGTCTCACGAAACTTTTGAAATACTTTCCGTTATTCTATGATATTCTGCAGAATCATCACATTACCTGATTGGCAGTATAAAGGCCGATATTTGTCCGACACATTTTTAATAAGAACAGAATCGATAATTTCAGATATTAAGGAAAAAGTAAAGTGAAACTGTTTGCATAAAAAAATTTGGTCCACAAGAGCGAGCGGAACAGGTGAGGAATAAAAAGGATGATATATTTCAGTTATTTACCGTTTAGCATAAGCATAAATTTTTGTTTTAGAAATTCCTTATAAATGCTTTCGAGAGTCTATTGAACATTTTTAATGTACACTTTCATACCATTTTTATAGCCCACTTCTATTTTTTTTAATTCTACAAACTCTTGGGTTCTCTATTTACCTGGTTAAATTTTTTTAAACAAAAGAAGTGATGGAGGATACCGTCATGACTTCGGAACGTCGTCGATTACTGGACAAACATTTGGATACATGGACACAAAGTCTGCAGTTGGATGACGTGATGGTTTTCCTTCTTTCCAACAGTGTATTCAATGAGCATATTGTTGATATCATCAAGGTTACTATGCATAACCTTATGTGATACATTTGAATCCTGAAATCAGTAGTGAGAATTTTCCATAAAATGTTGAAATTTTTTTTGCTCTTGTAATCCTTTCACAATTTGTAGAGCGAGTCCACCGTCGCTATGCAGCGATATCAGTTCATACGGCAGTTGAAGATGCGCGGAAATACAGCTTTTTCTTTATTTTATCAGTCACTGTTAAAGACGAATCAAAGGTATGTCAGATTACACGTCTAAAAGCTAGGTTGGGTTGTAAATGTTTAGGAGAATTTTGAGACCACCGTTTAAATAGGAGAGTATGTCTTTAATTTCACTTTTTAATATTCAGTGCTGCAAATGTTGTGAAAAAAAAAAAAAAAAAAAGAAATGATGCGTAACTAAACTTTAGATATTTGGCCCATTTGATGGAAAGTGGATTAAGCAGTGAAGACAAAAACAATGTTGGTCAAGAGATTGAATATAGGTAACAAGCTTTGCATTTCTTTATCGGACTACTGAAGTCTGTAAGACTCCAATCAATTCATTCGTTCTTTTTTTCTTTGAAAGCTTTTCTGCAGCCTGCTTTCATCTCTATTATACGTACCTGAAATGCATTTTTAATAGTTTTAAATTAATCACATCTAATGTTTTTTGAAAATTTTCTTCCATTGATTTTAAGGTCAACTTTGCATAGTAACCCATCCACTGGTGAAAATTGCCAAAGTATTGCTTGTCATAGTCCAACACCAGCAGCGATTCAAAGGAACTGTTCGTACTATAGATCATATGAGTGTGTAAAAAGTAAGTTGATCTGAAAAGAGACTGTTAGGTTGCATCAAATTTAAAGCGAACATTTTCTTGGGGTTTTTCTTCAAAGATCTATTTTAATTATAGTGCGTGAGCCTGCTGGTATACTCCATGACTTGATGGTGGATTTCATTGACACTGCTGCTAACCTCTCTTCTTTTGATGCTAATTTGGTGAGTATTAGTAGCAAACTGTAAAAAAAGTTCCATAGCTTTTAAGAATATGTTTATTAGGGACTTGTAAAGTAGTGTAATTTTTAGACTTGTAAAATAGTGCAGTCTTGATAAAGAACCGACGCTGCTTTACAGTACTGGACAAAACTTTTTTTGTATAATAGTTAGAGTACTGGAAACATTCAGGCAAACAAAATAGGAAGCAGTAAATATTTCGTTATATGAAGTTCTTCTGGTTCTTGCGTTGCAAGTCTTTAATATCTTTAGGTGTATCCCAATTTCTCATCACCTCGTGGAGTGGCACTAATTATCAACAACCGTTATTTCCTTGATATGCCAGAAAGAATTGGTACCGATGTTGACGAAATTAATTTGAACAATCTTTTTCGGCAACTTAATTATGCAGTTTCGGTTTGCCGAAATTTGTGTGCAAAGGTGATTTTTCTCATTTATAAGAAGATTTTGGGAAATGAATTATTTGGAATGTCGACAAGTGTTTAGTTGCAATGACCTGATGATGAATTATATATCCCATTGTTTTCATTGCTTAAAGGAGATGCTTATTGCTATCCGAGATTTCTCCAAACGCCCGGAGCATAAACACTTGGATTCTTGTGTCGTTTGCGTGTTGACACATGGTGAACATGGTGAACTGTATGGGACGGATGATGTCGCTATATCGGTATTAGAGTTTGTCTCCTGTCTAAATGCACGGAATTGCCCTGCTCTAGCTCATAAACCAAAACTCTTTTTCCTGCAAGCCTGCAGAGGACGTAAGTTTCATTTCAAATTGTTGTAAGATTTGGTTGTTAAAGCAATATAAATAAATAAATTATATATATATGTATGTACATAAATTGTTTGTAGAGCAGTACGATCGAGGATTTGGCACAGAGTTTGATGGACCAGATGGTTATTTTGATCGTTGGTTTACTTGTACTACTTCTCAACCTAAAAGCATTTTACCAATGGAACAGAAGACAAAGTATGTTACTATTTGAAAAAAAAAAAAAAACCATAACCTTCTGTAAGTTCTAGTAAAATAATCGTCTTTAATTTTAGATCACCGATAGAAGCCGACATATTAGTATCTTATGCAACTACTCCAGGATATGTTTCGTGGCGCAATTCCATGAAAGGTAGTTGGTTCGTACAAAGCATATGTGAAGTGTTTGCTAAGTATGCAAAATCCACCGACATTTTGTCGATGCTAACATTGGTTAGTTTTTGAGATACTGATCTTCGATATTTAATTTCTGTTTGCGACGTACTATTGATATGTTTGCAGGTGAATAAACAGGTAGCTGATGCTTTCGAAAGTTCCAGCGGTTCTTTCAAACAGATCCCTGACCATTCCTCCAGACTGCGCAAAGCTTTCTACTTCTTCCCAGGAACCATTAAACCTTTTTAAATGTTTCTGTATATGCTAAAAATTTGCTGTAATGTTTGCCACTATTCTACTCTACTTATTTCGAATAATGTCATATTTTGACATTTTAGCATCTGATCTTTCTGATTAGCTTCCATATGGTTCATCATCATGGTTTCACTTGAACACAGCTATACTGATTGTACGGTTAAAAGCCCAAGCATTATAACTTTTGAAATAAGGAATTTAGTGGAAATGAAGTACTGACGGATCGACGACTTCTGGAATTCTCTTCTTTACAGTTATTGCTTCACTTGTTTGAAGTGATTATGACAATAAATTCTTATAAAATCACTATTCATTAGTGTCTGCCGATGTCCATTTTTTTACTGCTTGTTTTTCCAGTAATCCTTCATCGTTCCTAAAGTTTTGTGAGCTGAAAGCAGTAATATAACGTTTTAATTTGACTGGTTTGGCAGTATGAGTTGTATTCGAGTGTTGTACAATTTTCCTCTGTTGAACTTTTACCTTTCACTATGGTTATCTTGTTGTTCTTGGACTTATTTATATTTTCGTTATTTGTTATTTGCACGAATAAGTCAAAGTAGTTTAATCTTAATTTTATTAGCATGAAGAAGGAGAAGTAATTTGATTTTAGTTAAACTTCCATTACAAGTTCTCCATAACTTCGGTAATCTTACTTTCTTAATCTCAGTTTTCTTGTTGTTCTCAGTTATTCAATCATTCCAGTCTTCCTTCGGTGCTTCATCACTTCCAGTAATTTAATCGTATTTATAATATTTGTCAAGTTGCATAATAATTATGGTTGGTAAATGTCATATCGTGTTGACGTGACTTTCCACATTGCCTGATATCCATAAATAATTATTATCTACAAGAACAATGTTATGTTTTCGTGAATTGGTCCATGTAACGATGTCAAGCGAATACCCGAAGTGTTCAAAAAATCTAAAATAGGGACTATTGGATGTATGTTTATATATAGTGCACTGGAGTGGATCACCAGGAAGCGAAACAGTGGCATTTCTTCTCACTAAGTGGCAGTCCAAGCAAATTAGATTGGACTTGCCTTCTTAAATAGCTTTAGAGTGGTTGTGATTGAAGCGTCTGACTATAAGGTTGACCCAATACGAGAGTAACATTTCAATATATCGAATACTTCGGGAAGTTCAGCCACACTGAAGGGTATATTGAAAGACGTAGAACAGCCAACACCGAATTGGTTCGTTACGAGTTGGGGAGGTACTGCTGAACTAAAGTGTAAATAACTCGAAGTGTCAAGAATACCAATGATGGTAGCGTCGAATTATATATTCCAAAGTTGTACGTAATTACGAATGTTCGATTCACTGAATCTGAATCGGGTAGTTCCCAAACACCATCAGATATGTAAGTTACGCAATGTTTTTCAAGTGAAATCGGGAATTAGATAACAGTGTTTTGTTATGTATTTCAGGTCAGTTTGTGTACTTTTATCGAATGGGATGTCAGCATCACGAGCAGTAACTTGGTTACCGCGAATACCAAAAGCAGTGAAAATTGGACACATTCCTCAACGTTTGAAATCACCGCGACTAGATTTTCAGCGAGCTCGCCTCGAAGTAGTTGTTCTTCATTGAAAGAACTTTTGTCTTTCCAACAAAGTTTTAGTATACATTCGATTGAAGCTATCTTGTAATTGTAATGTTTTGGACATTAGAGAATTTGCTGCGCAGAAACCGCTCTCACATACTTTTATGTGATGAGGTTTCAGTCGGTTGTATACTGCTTACGGTATTACAGATCCTACGGAGGATGTGTAGTACTTTATTTCGTGAAGAACGGGCAGAATTTCGACTTCATCGTGCAGTGGAGCTTCGTCCTTACGTGGAAAGGGTTAACGCTTTATTAAAATTTACTTTTTCTGAACTTTTTTTTTTCACAATTCAAGTTTTTCGCTCGTTATAATTGTAATTACGTAAAGATAATAATAAATAAACTGAAAAAATTTGTTAATGTTAATATTTTATAGCTTCTCCAGTTTGGAATACTTCGCGGTTCTGAAGATCCATACACCAGAGAAATGGTGGATTGGTGGATAATGGACGGTGATATACGCGAGAAGTTTTTCGAAGTCTATGTTCCTCGATTTCGGGAAAAAGAAGATTTTGGTTAACTTTTTTATTTCGATTGGATTTTGTGTATACATTTCAAATATGGATATGTGGGAAGAGGTCAAAAGAACAGTTTTTTTTTTTTTTTTTTTTTTACGCGACTCGTGTCGAATGAAGCTAGTCTTCCTCTTCCAAATTGTTCTTCCTAGTGATCAAAAACTTCCCACTTCAGTAGTGGTGTGGGTAATAATTTGCTTGCTAATGTTTGTATCACACGATATTCACTCTCATGATTGCTTTTTCATTTAATGAATTTAAGAAACAGTACCGAGCACCTATTCATTGAAAAAGTAATGAAGAATATTTCTCAGGTCCGTTTACATCATTATATTTTATCCAGGACGATCCCAGTGAAGGACACTTTCATAGAGGAGTCATTGAATTAAACGGCATGTATTTTATTATATATGTGTAATTAGTAAGGAAAAGAAGTGACTGCAGTTAAAATTCATGTATTGAGTCTTTAGTATATTGAACTTTTTTTCAGGTAATCCTTATCCACCCATAGTCATCGAACAAATGGTTTATTCTCACAATTTACTCAATGTGCTCCTGAAAAATGCAATTTGCCAACAAATGTCAAATTTGCAGATGCAACATGCTGCGACGAAATAGTGTTGGAAGTTGCCGGAATAATGGCATGATATTAAGCTTTGACAATCCTGTGTAGCCATCTGAGAAAAGATCTGACATAAATTCATGTTTTTATCCAATGTTTCTTGATGTTCTTACACTTAGAACTTTCAAAAAAGAGAATGACTGATGAATTTGGAATTTCTGCAGTGGGGGTTATGTAAGAGTCTTTAACTCTTCGAATCATGAATCTTCCACAGTGTACTGTTTTATATTCGGTGAGTGTTGTATTGGATGAACTGTCAAACAGTAATAAATTGTGCAGGTGTAAGAATACTGTCGGTACTTGATGTTTCTCTACATCAGGAATGCAGTGACGAAATGGCATAGAATAAAGTAACATTTTGAAAAAATTAAAAGAGTAGATTATATAAAAGCAATAAAAAGCTATATGAAATTACATTTTCTGTGGACCATTATCACCATTATTTGCGACATTTTCCACATTTCATGATATGCTCATGAAAATCTCCCAACGTTGCAAATTTATTAAATTCTATCTCGCATGCTGTGCAGTGTAAGTTGAGTATTTGTTCAACATAGCATTTGCTTATTTGATTCGTTTTGTGCTCTACCGATATGGTACAGTCCATAGAAGCCTGTAAACATTACTGATTTTAAAGTAGCGGCCCAGTCAAAATTTTCTCACCTAATCAAATTATTGTGAAGATTTCGAAAATCAAAAATAAGAAATTGTTGGAAATCAGGAATCCGAAACAAAGAAGCCGATCTCCAACAATTCCTAAGTTAAGATTTCGAAAAAGAGTGCGAACTTAACAAGAAGTCCACATTTTTAATGTAGCCTTACATTTTTATTTCACACAGTTATCATGCTTTTACTACTTGTTATTGATCAAACAATAACTCACTATACGAGCTGAAAATAAGGAACGAGGACATAGTAACGTTCAATTTGATAAAATTGGAGATCGCAAGTCTTCAGTTCTAACAAGTCCTAACAAAGTGTTTTCTCTAAAGCCACGAGAGTTCTTAGCATTCCAATTTTTTAGCTATGGCATACCTCAGCAGAAGTCCATTTAGGTGAATCTGTTGCAGAGTTGTCACGTTTCAAATATTCATTGCAAATATAGTTGCAGTGGAAGGTTATTTCGGATTCAGCACATTGAAGATTTGCTTTTATGAACTGCTTGTTGGATAAATTATCTCCCGAGCGTTTCTCCATTTCACCATTACTGGAACAGCATCCTGTCGTACTCATAACCTTTGTTAGTAGGTCATGAGATGAACTAGAATCCATTTCAGTTTGGGAAATGTCGGATAAACAACGTTCAATTGGATTTAAACATTTATAAATGCTGTGCTAGCAATACGAAGCAGTTTGCAAATTTATCGCATCTTAGATTTATTATTTTGTTTAGTTCAAGAATAGGATAGTATAGCTTATTTCAACTTTCCAACTGTTCAACAGAACGCTTTAGAGACATGTTAGTATGTTACTAATTTTCTTATGGAAGCTGGTTTCACTTATTAAAACCTCTCATTGACCTGCAGCAACTCCTAACCTGTATTGCATTTGTGTCCGTCTCCTACATACAGGTTAGGGATCAATTGGATTTTATCAACAGTTACACTCAATCCCTAAGTAGGAATACTTCCGACCTTAAATTTCCAAACAAATTCTTCTCTTTTTGCATTGTTCTGCCGTATGTGTTAAGTTAAAATGATTTGCAAATTTCCTGTTGGAACTGCAGAAAGAAAAGAATCTCAAACTTACTTCAAGGGAATCATTTCATACATCTCTTTCGAGGACTCAGTTTCGAGGATACGAAACTTAGGGAGTCGGATCGACTGCGGATTTGGTATCCGTTCCAATACCGCCATTGCATCTTTACATCTGCTGCGCACACCCATTTGCGCAACTTTTATGTCTAAAATATACCAAATAGCTTTTCGGCTCGTTTACTTAAACCACATGTGTCTAATTTTACTGTCTATAGAATAGGGCAGATCTGTATACGTCTTATGCTCTGAGGAGCAAAAGTCGCATAATATCACACATGTGTCACACAAATCCTCCAAAAAAAGGATTGGGCGGAACTGTGTCTAAAACAAATGTCTACAAATGTTGAAGCAATTTCTGCACCATATCTCGGAAGTTCATTAAATATAAAGAATATTATTTGTGACCGTTGATTTCTTATCTGTCTTAGACAGACCTCGTTCAAGATCATTCACTGAACTGTTTTTCTTTATGCACACATGTTCCTCAATTCTCTTCAATGCAAATGTTGCAAAGCCACATTTTGAACAGAGGAAAGGAGCTGCTCGAGGTAGAACATTATAATGCAGTGAACGATTACGGATCTTCTTCACTAAGCTGATATTTTTCCTCCGAAGAAATCGCCAACTCTTCCTCCTGAAGAAGTTTCCTATGCAAACTGATATTTCTTTCATCTATAATAAGGAATTTACTAGTCAATCAGTTTTAAATCTAGGAAGAAACAAGATTTATGAAGTAACAGTAAAATTTTCACAATATGATAGATTTGAGGAATTGGTTGTTTTACAAGGGATGAAATAAGAAGTTGGGCTGTATCTTCAAAATCTGGCTATTAAATTTCTTCAGGGCATAATGAACCTCCTCCCTTCACCTATGCTGCAATCGACACAAGAAGTGAAGTTGTTGAAAGATGTGAGAAACATAAAGGCAATCGATTTCACGCTGATTTTGAGATCTTCCCGTCTCTTCATTTATTTTCTGGACCCTGTGTATTGATGAAAATCTTTATGTTTTTTTTTTCTTCTTTTTTATTTAGATGCAAGCTCCTGAATATTCTAATATTTCACAGAAAAAACAATACACAGCTGCACTAACATTCCTTTCATTCACAGAAAGACAGGAGATTTCTCACACCTCTAAATTTTCCAGCATTTCGGATAATGTAATAGAGCCAAGTTAATGTATTCAAGAGATACATACTGAGTTGAGACAAGTAGGAGTGTCATCCAAAACTATGAATCTAAGCATCTTCACACCAACAGTTCTCCTTTGTAGTATAGTGGACATTTAAGGAGAAACTTATACCTGGTGAGGAAGCGTCGAAAAGCTGGATGTACATAACGTAATATGGAAGGCGCAACATGCATTCGCGCCATGCAACTTGCTTTATTCAGCAAAACCATTATTCTGCTGTTAATGCTTATAACCTTCGTTGGAATAATGGAAGCGCGGGGTGGTCGTCGCGCTGGTAAAAGTAAAGGCAAAAGTAATCTGCAATTTGCACAAGTTGCCGAATTCTCTTTGGTGCACACACAATTAGCTGACAGTAAAGTAAGTTTATATAAAAAATAAATGGAGCAAAAAGCAAGGAGTCATGAGTTATCTACTTCAATTGTTTGAAAATCATTGATGTCATATTCAATTGTTGAAAATTAGTTGACAAGTTTACATATATTTTAAAGAACCACCGTGATCCATCAACTACTCATATCCAATTCATTTTTAGAATGCCTTTGTCCCGTATATCGTTGCTGTATTTATTTCTTTGTTTCAACAATACTTTTTTCAAAGATATGAAAGAAATACAACAAAGTGAAAGTTATAATACAAAAAACTTGGAATTTCACAGCTTATTCTTCCTAATTAATAATATCAGTGTGTTAGTTCATTATGTATAAGCTGAGACAAAAACATAAATAAAATTAGGAAATAATACTTATAAGTATGTATATTAGGAGAGGAACATTACTTGTTATTTGAGTAAACTAAAAACAATATTGGAGAAGTACCAAAATAATAACTCATTACTTGTCCGTTATTCTAAATATGTGAGCTTAAAGGGAGCTAAATTCCAGAGTGCTCATATCGTCACCGGGTCACATTTCAGCCAAACATTCCGGCTGGGTTATAAGTTGGTACTAATTTGCAAAGCTAAAGGTACACCGCGTCCAACCATCAAATGGTATAAGGAAGGAGCTGAAATGCTTCCAAAAAAAAATACGCACGTAAGTACTTCTTTACTGGATTAATGTTCTGAAACAAAAGAAAATAATCCTTCACAGATTGTAATGATGTGAGCACTTCCACTTCTCTTAAGACTAATCTCAGTATTTGCTACTTTATTAGTAAGTTGACCTGTGAACTTTTTCGGGTTCCACACATCAGACAGGCAGTTTGAAAAATGAAATATCTAACTGAGTGAAATTCTCTAAATATAGTTTTTAATCTTTTCAAATATTGTATATTATTTATATATATATATATATATATCTTTTCAAATATTATACAAATATTCAAATATTATATATCTTTTCAAATATTAAGAATTTCTACTTTCTAAAAAAAAACAATTGCAGCATTATGAGAAACTACTCGATGAAGATATGTTATGGAGCAAGTTAGAGATCGACCCAGCAACTATGGGTGACCAAGGGATTTATGCGTGTGTTGCTAACAATGAACACGGCGTTATGGCTAAAAATTTCAAAGCTGAATATACTTACTGAATCCACTGCTTCACTTATAAGTGATATTCACCGCATTATTCATTTGGAAATTCGTATTTCACTTCTGAAGCAATCATAACTTTCAATATTTAATGCATCTTATTTCACGACTTTGGATACTAAAAAACTGACAATGAAAATGACCAGAGATATCTTCCGGAATGAAGTCTTCTAAGTAATACCAATCTGATAAGTTCGTAATTGTCACACTAATCCAATGTTCAGTTAGTCACTGAGAATGTCATTAAAGAAAAGTTCTCTTCTAGTGTTAAACCTACCAATAAAAATAAACTGTTTCCAAAGAAATTCATCCAACATTATAATTGAGAAATTTTAAAGGCAACTGGAAATACATTCTTTATTATTCATTTGCACATTGATAAACTATTGATTTATACGCATTGAATTTATTTAACAGATCGTTAATTAACAAAGTATTTGATAAGCCAGTAGACAATTCATTGTGGTACAGTCTTTCACAGCTCATTTCAAAAGAAGTTTTAATTACTCTTCGCTCATTAAAGCTAGGTTTATATTGAGGAAAGATATGAAATCTCTCAAGATATTACCATATCAATTATCGTTACAGAGAGATAAAGAGAGAGGAAGAAAGATAAAAATATGTGTTTTAAATGGAATACGTTCTCTTCTTCTGAAATTTTGAAATTTTAATGATACCCAGCGGGATGGATAAGTTATACCATTTGATTATGGCTGAACAATTCAATTACCTGTACCCAAGTATCCGTAATATCAGCGAGAGTTAACCGTCAATACTGAAACAGTGAGAACACATATGAGAATTGGACTGTACCGAATGGCACAATATGTGTAATATTTTAGCTAAGTAATGCTATTAAAGTATGTTAAAGGAAAAAAGGAGAAATTTGATGGATTTTGCGGAGAAAAGAATGAATTTAAGGTTAAAAGGCCCACATAATTAGATGGCGAGACAACTTTCATCAAAGTGGCAGCACTTTACGACCGTATCGATCGATGCCACCTCTACAATACCTTCCAATTTAATCAATGCAATGACCCTTCGTAGACTGTTGGCAAGTTGACTCACGACCATTGGACTTATACTTTGTTGGTATTAGTGATGTTCTTTCAACTTTGTTCTTATTTAGTTGCTGTTTTGGGTTATGTTGGGTTCTGTTCTGTTCTGTTTAAGTAAAGGACTGTATTTTAAGGGTTGGTAGGTGGGAATATCTTAGATTTGGTATGACTACGTTACCTTGCAAATTGCTATCTCCTCTTTTGATTCTGCAGATTTTTTATGGCTTGATAGACGAATCCTTTTTCAGGTAAAGATGCAGACTATCAAATGTGTAGTGGTTGGAGATGGTGCTGTCGGCAAAACGTGCCTTCTCATTTCGTATACTACCAACAAGTTTCCCAGTGAATATGTACCCACAGTATTTGATAATTATGCTGTGAGTTAATTCACTTATTCTCCATTTATTTATTTCTTAATTATCATTTGCCACTTCCTATTAATGATTCAGATTGAGTGGTAAGCACTTAGCACTCGATTGCTTATTAGTTGCATATTGAATCTTTACAAGTCAATTACCACTCTTATGAGAGTCACAACACCTGTTTTGTATCGCTATTTGTTGGTATTTAGTTGATTATCAGCAACTACTTCGTTTTGGTGTATTAAGCGCATATAATATTTGTTAAAGGTAACAGTTATGATTGGAGGAGAACCATATACGCTTGGTTTGTTCGATACAGCCGGTCAAGAAGATTATGATAGATTGCGTCCTCTTTCATATCCGCAAACAGATGTATTTTTAGTGTGCTTCTCTGTCGTTGCACCTTCATCTTTCGAAAATGTGAAAGAGAAGGTTATCATTTTGAATTTTTGCAACCTCTTTTTTTTTAATTTATTTGTAATTTTGGTACTAAAGTTGTGTCAATTATGATTGGACATTGTCAAGAATATCTGAATGAAACTGGTTTGGTACTAGACTGGGAACAAATTAGCATGGTCTTATATAATATCATGTAATAAGGAATACTTTCAAGAGAAAGTTGTTTGCAGTGAAATTATGGAACGATTTTACCGTTTTTTCTAGCTTTTATATTGTGTACCAACTAGTTAAGAATTATAGTTATTGTTCCTTTTTTATCAAAGAAAAAAGGTCATAATTTCATCATCATTTTGAGAACGGAGCTGATATAAAATAAGTGGCTTTTGTTATTTGAATTTATACTGGTATTTTCTAACGTTTCATTATACTTTTGCATCTGGAAACGTAAATTTTGCGTAATTTTGAATTATCAAGATGAGATCGACTTTAGCTATTGATGTCTTGTTATGTTAGGGGTTATTCTGTTTATCAAATAGCTTTTATTTAAGTTGATGAAAAGAATTGCAGTGGGTGCCGGAGATAGCACATCACTGTATGAAGACGCCATTCCTGCTGGTCGGAACTCAGATTGATCTTCGTGACGATCCCTCCTACATCGAGAAATTGGCAAAAATCAAGCAACGACCAATTACATTCGAAGTTGGAGAGAAGTTAGCGAAAGAATTAAAGGCAGTGAAATACGTCGAATGTTCTGCGCTCACACAGGTTGCCCCTTAGAATTTCTCCTGAGATAGGTTTGAATAATTCAATCCATGCGATAAAAAATAAGAACTGAGAATTACGTGTTTCGCAAGCATGATTAAAATTATAGCGTATTAAGAACTTGCACTTTGCGCTGGTAGCAATCTGTGTCACAATATTAAATGTTATACATATACGGTTAAAGTTAAAGGAAAAAAGTCCCTATTGGCTAGACAAACTCGATGTTGCACATTTGGTTCAATGTGTGACTCATTTTCGAAGCATTTTTGTCATTTTGAAACCTACATATTTTGTGTTACAGAAAGGTCTAAAAAATGTGTTCGATGAAGCAATATTGGCAGCACTGGAACCACCGGCGCAAGAGAAAAAGAAAAAATGTACTATACTTTAGCGTCATTGTTTCTCGATCATGTTATATTGGTTTCTGATTTGTTAGTCATTTATCCGTAATAATTATGTTAATGTCTTAAACGTTGCACACATACCACCACCACCACGTTTCCTCTTCTAGTTGGTCCATCTGCGCATATGTATGGTGTTTCCATTTATCTATGCAATATACGTGTAGAATGAATGTATTTCAGTACTTCACATTTCGTTTACCACACTTCGCGGATAACCAAATTTTTAGAAACTTTTTTAGCTTTGGAAAACTTATGCCCAGACAATACTTGCTGAGTAAGTCGAGTGATAAAAAGGCTATACCACTGAAGATTACTTAAACTTTCAGTGAGGTGAACACCCATCTAAATTATTGCTTCATTTCGTAACTCTGCATTGTTCATGTATTTGATAGGCATATGTCTTGCATGAATACAAAAGAACAAACTTCAAAAAAGACTGGCTTGATATTCTATGATGCATTCTATGATCATGCTTATTGAAGCAAATCCGTACTTTGACTCAATTTGGAAGCTTGGATTAGGCCACTCTGTGATGAGATTATTGAGTCTCGCGATTTGTATATTGAGATACTCTTTAGCTTTACCACTAATGAATTATATTTGCCTGCGTATTGTCAAAAGTCATGGTGATGAACAAGAAAAGCAATTAAATTATAGAAAGAATAACAATGTTTTCAATTTTTTAAGCACATTTTAACTGTTTTCCCAATAAAATTTAAAAAGCATTATCACGCCCTGATACGTTCATACTATGGCAAGAGTTTATATATCTGTAATATTCCTATAAGAAGTAGAGTGGAAATCCATATTAAAAAAAGAAAAAAAACGTTTAGGGTGTCATAAAGAAAATGACAAAATTATAGTGTATTATACATAAGTAGAATTGGCCGGCATAAGTCAAAAAGTTGAACACCACGAGCATAAACACTGACTAAAATATAAGTACACTGGCTACAAAAAAAACTTGATTAAATTGTGAAAATAAGAAAGACAACAGCGAAATAAATAACTATAAGATGGATTCATCATCTTCCCTAGTTTGTCTTCCTCTAGTCCCTGATTACAGTGACTATAATAATTATGCATAAATGAATCGAATAACGATGCAAAAATGAACGAAAGAACAAGCACTGTCATTTCAATTGAATAAATAATGGAGCTAAGATGTTGGGCGTACATAGCTGCCCTTATAAAATTACCCGCGACATTTCAATGTAAAAAAAATCACTTATATATTTGAAAAAATAGTTATTTTGACAAACCCTACTAGGGAAATAGTGCACGAACTGATTTTGGTGTGCTTCCGTCACTGAGATGTTTTGTCGTATATCGTAGAGCGCTTAATAACGACTCTGCCTGAAAATCGGATTTTAAGAGGTGAAAGATTTGAATCGAATGAACTCGAACTCTACAGGTGTAGTTGTCCTCAGATGCATACTCGTCTTATGTAAGAGGACAGTAATACATTATATAAATCATTATACATAAACATTCCTATCGAAATAGGAAATTAAGTCCCTTCATATGGTGTATGAAATCAATAATTGCAAATTCACAGCTAATATTTCCTTAGGAAATAGAAAAGTATGCACCTCTTCATTTCTAGACTGTGTCTTGATTAGTTCCACAACCGATCGTATATCAATCGGAGAATCTTTGCAGAAAGCTCCCGTGCCATCAATATGATCATATAGTATAATCGCTCCAACCATAACCCTTATCGTGAAAGAAAAATTTTGATCCGAGAGTCGTTCCCAATTCTCCTCCTTTTCCACCATAAATCGGCAGACCTGGAAAGAATAATTGTTTAATAAACATCAAACTCATACTTTCGCCTTCTGAAATTCAGCTCTTCTGCTTACCTGCACAACAGTGGCTAGCGTATCTGTAGTGTTAGTAACGGGGAGGTCACCATTTGAAGCAACAAAATTAGTTGTAGCTGTGATAAGTGCAGAAAGCATTGGAGTTGGACAGGCCAAAAACAATGATATGGTGTTGGCCAGTTCCAAAGGTATAACGAACTGTCCGTCACTCTGAAAATAAAACATAGATTAGGAAAGTTAGTCAATCTTTGTAGCTGTTGTCATTAAAGACTTAAAAGATAAACCTTTAAGCAGATAACAAACCTCTCGTGACATTGCTCGACGATAGAAACTGAAATCGTTTTGCAGTGCTGGGGTACACATTTTGACAGTATCAAATGAAAGTGCAAAGTCTATAAGACGGGCAAACTGTCGACAAGTTGCCTGCAGTGTGTCCAACTGTTCCGCCGGCGGCAAAGGACCTGTAATTTTTGATAGGATGGATTCATTTTCACTTACCAGATATTTTTGATTTTATGAATGATGGGGAAACGATACGCTCAAATCTGCCGATATGACCATATGCTCACCTCAATAATGATTATTTATATATGATGCTAAGCTAATGCGTTATCGAGTCATGAAAACAGAAACGGATTGTAATTTTTGACAAGATAGATCTAAGCTATTTATGAAATGTTTTTTAATTCTATTTTCTTTTTTGTTTTTTATTCAGTTTGTTGCCACTAATTTTAATATACTTAGCAAACCTATTACTCAGAGAAAAGCTGTGCGAAAATGACTTTCGCAGAGAGGGTATAGGGTCAGTGGTAAAAAAGCTACCTGAACAAAGATCCCACAGCAGCAGCGGTATAATCTGTTCAATGCGTTGTGATAAATCATAGTAGGCCCTAATCTGCATCACAAGCTTGCTCAAGATATCGAGTGCTCCCCGTTGAGCATCTTTATTGTTCGGTTGCTGTATGGCGATGCGAATTTCAGCCGATGCACCAGCTGAATAATGTTTCACGTCCTCTAGCAACACGTCTGCCTGCTCCAAGATCTAGAATTCTAGTATTTAATTAATTGGAATTTTATATTTAATTACGTCCATATCAGCTAGCTAAACCTGAAGTTAAAGTGAATTTTGAGAAGAACTCCTTCATCAAAAACACACCTTCACCTTACTTTATCTACTATTATAAAATAGATAAAGTAAGGTGGACCTCGAGGAAAGATGGCATCACTGATAAACTGTAGTCGACGGCTGGTCTCCTGGTTGGTAATTTTTCATCTAGAAGTGCTTCGAATCATTTTCATCCTACCTTTTCAGCAAAGGTGTAGATTTGCAATTCAGATTCCGATGGTACAGCATGCTCGAAATCCAGGAAGACATTGACGTCGGGTAAGTTAGTTTTTGAGCCGTCACAGCTAGCCAGCAGCACTGAACGTACAACTTCTGCACATGAAGATCCACTTTTCATGTCATGCTGCAAATAGAAATGGCTAATTACACTTATTGTGACGATATTAAATTCACTGGGATATTGCAATGAAGAAAGTATTACTCTGTACCATAAAATTTAAGAGGCCTGACATTACACCGTTCATTACCTATACCTTAACCAGACTGTTAAGAATGAAATCTTTTTCAGGAAATTTTGAAAAGGTAAATGACTGGGCTAGGACATGTTCCGCTGTATACTAAGTGTTAATCAGTAATTATAAAACTGTAAATAGACTAAATAGGCTAACTAAATCTTTTAAGTAAGCATAACCCACAATGCAGCAACACTACGTCGGACGAACTGACCATCTCACTACAAACAGGTCGGCCAACCGCCAAATGGTCATAACTAATATTTGTGGAGAAAAAACGACTCGGAGCGGAGGAGCGTTGTAAGGCCGCGCTGAATTTTTTTTCATTCACTTTGGAATATGACAGATGTAATGGGCCAGTGTCAAATATGTTGAATTACGGGCTGTGTGTATGAGGACTGCTTGTTGCTTTGACTATGACTCACTGGTATAGCAAAAACTTGTGAACATTTTGTTTCAGATAATTCATGATGGCGTCAAAACGTCAATCTGCTTCATGCTTTTCTGTCACTTCAAAATACAAAAAAAAGAATGATGGTACGGATAAAGGTTTGCTTCCTGTGTTTTCCTTCCTCCCAAATATCTTCAGTACCACAAATTTTAAATAAAAATAAACTTTCAAATGCAAAAGGTTGGCAGAAAGAGATTAGCTTACTTTGCTATGAATTGTTATAATAACCAGAACAAGTGTTTTGCAGATGAGGTATCAAAGCTTTCATTGAATAAAAGAATTGCCGAAGTGCCAGGAAGGATCGCTTCAATTGAATTATTCAATTTCATGTGTCATGAAAGTCTAAAAATCAATTTTGATTTGTCCAACAGGAATTGTTTCTTCATCGGTGGATCGAATGGGTGTAAGCTTACGTCTGTTTGTTGTAACAGATAAATTATATGTTGTTATTTGCTGGCAAAAGAAAAGTATTGTACTTCTTGTTTTCTCTTTTTTTCTCACTTCTTTGCTCTTTGATTATGGCACTTCGATAGTTTCGATGCATACTCCATAGCTTTTAGCTTCGAAGAGAAAGGGAATGTTAGGAACTTTTAATATTTTATTGATAGAGCAAATAATTGTATATAAATGTAAATGTTTTTCAGCTGGTAAGAGTGCGTTATTTGCGGCATTGAATATGGGTCTTGGAGGTCGAGGAAGCCAAAATGAACGTGGGAATGCAATGAAACAATACATAAAGGATGGTCAGAAGTGAGTTAGCTATTCAGTACTTTATATTTCATTCAGCATTTTATATTAGGAATAGTAAAATCGTCGAAATATCATTTACTTTCTTTTTGAAATTATGAAACAGAGACCGGTTCTAGTACTAGTAAGTTTCAAGAGATAATCCTTGAAATGTTTTGGAGCTAATTAATATGCAGCTGTTGATATGCTTTTTATATCTGCCATCATTTTTGAGCCACCGATATTCTTAATATCTGTAGTTAGATTTGTGGATTATAGTCGTGCAAAAATAAGGATAGTACTCACTAATTGCGGCTTCGGAAAATATCCAGGTTACGGCGATGCTATTGCTGTTGAGCGGACTATAAGCTTAACTTCGTCAACATATCAACTGAAATCTCTCACTTAT